CGGGGACCGCGAGCGCATGCGCGCTTCGCCCGCCCGCCCGCTCGCGGCGATCCCTCGGCGGCGCTTCCTCGCGAGCGGAGCCTTTTCATCCCTCGGCGGACACCGTAGCGGCGAGACGATGTTTGCGGAGCTGAGCGAGCTGCTCGGGGTCTCCGTCGATCAGCCGGAGCGGGTGAGGGGCGCGTTCGGGAATGCCGAGCTCGGCTTGGCCTTCCTCGCTTCCCGTCGTTCCTGTGTATATGGGGGTGGGGGAGAGAAGAGAGACGCGCTCGCTCTCCCATGATGCAGCGCGCGCTGTGCTGCGGAGCGAGGCATGCTGGGAGTTGTAGTCTACACGTCCAGGGCATGCCCTGGCTTTGCTGCAGTTTTCAGCTGAACTGGGAGGGTGTTGAATTTTTTTTTGACTGCAACTCCCAGAATCCCTCCTGTTCAACCACAAGGTTCTAATTACTTAGTAAGGAACGAGTTAATAACTAGTAGTTCCTTATTAGTAACTGATTACACTTCAGCCCAGGAGGGAGAAATGTTGGGCTCTCAGTCCCCACCAGCCCCATCTGGGATGCCTAGAGGTCAGGATGATGGGATCTGTAGGCGGGCAGCCTCTGGAGGGTACTCCCCCCCTCTTTTTTTGCACTCAGTAGGAAATCGTAACACGAAGGGTTTTAAAGGGAACCTTAAGCATGTGTCCCAGTAAGATTGTTATGTCAGCATTAAAACATTTAGCAGTCTCCCCTTTGGGTCAGTGTCATTCAGGATTCCCAGCGGGGTGCAGTGGGTGGAGTGATGGCCCCAGGAGGCCTGGGGTTGAGTCCCCCCCCCCCCGGCTTGGCCACGGACACTCACCAGGGGTGGGCAAGCAAAACTGCAAAAACCGCTCCTTAAATCTCTCGCTCACCTTGAAAGCCCTTTTAGGGTCGCTCTAAGTCGTTTCCGACTTGATGGCACACAACACACGGTGAAGGTCAGTCTGAGCCGACCTGTTGGAATCCTTCCCGAGGTGAGTGAAAAGGTTCACTAAAACACAGAAGTTGGTCGCTTTGATGCGTCATCGTGCCCGTTTTCAAGCAAAACTAAACCCGAAATAGAATCCAGCCCAAAGGCAGTGCCTGATCCCAGGAAGGCCACTCCAGACCAGACTCCCTCTGGCCAGGTGTTGGGTTTTATACCTCTCTCTCTCTTCACCCCCACCCCCTCTCTTTTGCACTCTGTCTTCCAGGGCAAGCTCACTTTGCTGTGTGCTGCCAACACAGATGCCAGCTTCCTGATCCACCATTTCCTTTCCTTTTATTTGAAAGGTAGGCAAGCCAACGGCTTGGGAGTCTGAGTTGTGTAACAGGCCAGCTCCCAGGCCCCAGAGCTCGGCACAAATGGGATGCAGATGCCTTCAAAAGAACAGGAGCCTGAGGCTGAAATTCCGTTCTTGATTGGGTCACGTCTTGTGGATAGGGCACAGAACCTGGACATTTTTATCTTTTAGGAGTCTAACTCCCAGCCAGCACTGGCCCCTTGCCCTGTTGGTTAGCCATTCTTGGAGTGGTCATTTGAAAGGGGGGGAAAACAACGTTCCCAAGCTTTGGATCTGGATAGCTCCTCTATACACATCTGTTAGGCTTGGCCCGGAGAAGTACAGCATGTGCCTTCGTAAATCAACATCACCATGCACACATGTTTATTTCTTAAGTAGAATTTTTCCAATAAAGGATGAATATGAAACTGCAGTTGCTATAAACACAAAGTAAAATAGCAGCATAGGGAATTTGGCATAAAAATTAAGCTGAACAAACAAAAACTTTAAAATCAAAATCTTGAGAGTCTCAACTCAAAGGTCCAAATAAATTTTAAAAAATTATAATCATGGGAGCACCATGAGCATGTCAGACTATTACAGGTTTTCATCTGGCAAGGGGGAATAAAATGGGGGCTATCCCTCCCCCCATCATCTCCTTTGTCATTTGACAAATTGTCACTTGTTGAGCCGTTGGGCCCATGAATTCTAAAGACCTGAGTAGCCCTTCCTTGCGTTTGAAAAATGTTAAGACTGTCAGAACAAACAAAGGAGCAAGTAAACAAGACAAAGTAAGATTATTTTGGATCACATACGTATCTTTGCAGTGATCAGAAAGCAAACCTCATCTGCAGCCGAGAGGATGGTGGGGAGTTTGTGTCGTATCTAAAGGCCGCTTTTGCTTCCCCATAAACTCTTCCAGCCTGGTTCTGTTTTGACATTTCACTCCACGGGTGGGGCTGGCAGCTCACTGTCCCCTTCAGCATTGTTGTTAGGTGCAGGATTTGTGGGAAACGAGATGGGGGAAGAATGGCTGAGAAAGCCCTTCTCGCACCGTGCTTTGCTCCTCGTCGGTTTTCTGTTGTCGCAAACTGTTTTTTATGGCTGACCTGCATAATAACAAGAAAGTGGGTCTCTTTGTCATTTTTTCCCAGCTGGCTGCAAAGTCTGTTTCATTGCTGTTGTGCAGTTGTTCAGTCACTACAGCATCGTCGCCCAAAAGCTGGTAAGTGACACGAGTTTTAATTTTTTCACCAACTACCACACTTTGACGTTTCTGGCACCCACCCATCCATCACCCCTCACCTGAGAAAGCAGGCTCAGCCATGGGTGAGATTTCAGTGACTGCCTTTAATGTAGCTCAGAGGAACATGTTCAGAGGAACATCATCCCCAAATGGCATGGGGATAATGGGAAGCTCAGCCATGGGTGAGATTTCAGTGACTGGCTTTAACGTAGGAGCAAGTTCACAGGAGAGCCGTCTGGGCTTGAGCAGCCCTGGGGTTGGGGGTCTTTGTGAGGTTGCCCAGCAGTTGCTGCTGAGACCGGGTAAGAAATGGTGCCAAATGATGGCTGGCTTGTGTTGGCTGCTGATGGTCTGTGTTTCTAGATTTTGTCTTCTGCTACTCTCAGAGTTTTAATGACTTGAAATGCAAAGCTCTGGCTCAGAGGAACATGCTCAGAGGAACATCATCCCCAAACATCATGGGGATAATGGGAGTTCTAGTCCCCCAACAGGGACGTGGTGGAGCTGTAGGTTAAACTGCAAAGCCTCTGGGCTGCTAGGTCAAAAGACCAGCAGTTCGAATCCACGCAACGGAGGGAGCGCCCGTCGCTTGTATCAGCTCTTGCCAACCTAGCTGTCTGGAAGCATGTAAGAATCTGAGTTGATAAATAGGTACCACCTCGGTGGGAAGGTCACGGCATTCCGTGTCTAGTCACGCTGGCCACCTGACCATGGAAACTGTATTCGGACAAATGTTGGCTCTACGGCTTGGAGACAGCAATGAACACCGCGCCCTAGAGTCGGACACAACTGGACTGTCAAGGGGAACCTTTACCTTTACCTAGTCCCCGAACAACGGAAGCGTGTCAGATTGCGAAAAAAAGCCATTGTGGGCCCTTAATCAGGTGGGAACAGGCTGAGCAGACAACTTCTCGGTAGGCCCTTGGGGAGAGTGAAGCCGTGTTTCTTCATTCCCTCCAAGCGTGGATCTGAGTTGTTTTTTCTCTCGCTCTCTTTTCCCCCCCAGGGAGTCAGTCTGACCGCAGCCAAAGAAAGAGGCCAGCTTGTGTTCTTAGAAGGGCTGAAATCTTCAAACGAGGTCTTGTTTGCTGAACAGCAGGAGCCAGCTTATGCTAATCCTTTCCAGTTTATCAGGTAACCCGACTTTGTTTCTGGAAGTGGAAAGGGCACCGTGTGTATGTGTGAGAGAGTCTACTTTTCTCAACGCCGTTGGGCAGACATCAGTCTGGATCCAACCTGGTTGGTCTTCTAAGCTTCTTGGCACGTGACACGGTGGTGGTAAATGTGAAACATCTATTACATTGAATATTGGTAAATGAAAAATGTAGATCCTTTGCCTCGGTTTGGCTCGTGTGACATTCTTGACGTAGTTATCCGTGGTGCTTGAGTTACCCGGTGGAGGGCAGAACGGCAGGTCAGGGCCATGAGGTAAAGAAAGGGTCGCCATTTATTATTAACTGAGATGGACTGGTAACAGGCAACTTGGTAAACTTTGTGTTTCTGGCGACATAACTGCCTGTGGGAGTTTGATTCAGCCGTCGTTTTTCAGGGAGAATATTCTGCCTAATGTAAAATGAAACTTAGATAGACCTGGGGCTGCAACACCTTCAACGTTGTGTATTTGAGCCCTGCAGTTGTGTTGCTTTCTACCATCCACTAGGGTTTGTCAGTGTTTTAAGCCGTCTTGTACTGTATAGTTAACTGTCTGTGAATTCTCGTATTTCTTCTTTTTTTTACACACTATACTTTTTAATAGACCTACCAGATTGTGAATGTTCTGTTTTAAGCTTCATGTGCCATGATTTAAATTTCTCAGTCAGTTTTCACTGTTTTGAGAGAGCAGCTGATTGTATATGACACTTAGCAGATGGAACAATTTTAGATAAGTATATTGTGATATTTGTTATCCTTGATCCCAGCGGATTCACCTCACATTTGCTGCTTACCATTTACTGTCTGCTTGGATGGTAGAGTGGTTATCCTCTCTCTTCTCCCTCCACCTGTTGCAGCAGAGATGGTTCAGACCTGAAGGTGCTGTATGAATTTGTCGGGAAATCGCTAAGCCCCACTTCGGTCGGAGAAACGTGGAGGTGCCCGGTGCTTATTGTAGACAACCTGGGGGTCTTGCTGAGCCTTGGTGTGAAGCTGGTGGACATTCTTGATTTCATCCATTACTGTAGAGTCACAGTGAACTCTCAGCTGAAGGTATCCCAGTGGCAATTCTGGTTGTGCTAGAGCTTAATGAGAACAGGAGTCCAAGGGCAGAGGCTGAAAAGGTCCTAGGTAGGCCCCTTGGCAAGAGGCTTGCCGAGATGAGTCGAGGAAATAAAAGGCATTTCCTTGAAAGAAATCATCCCCGCGTCTTCTTGGACTGTCATGTAAAAGAAGAATCCAGAATACCGTTCCTTATTGCCTAGTTCATTTCAGATAGATCAATCCAGGTGGGATGCAGAAACAGTCTAGTCAGGGGGGGATCAAGGGTTTTGCTAGCCACTCCTGCTCTGCTCTGAAACGATGGCCGGCAGGTTACCAGCTTCTTCCCCGTCCTGTTTTCTGGCTCAGGGCAACGTGGTGGTGATGGCTCACAGCAGGGAGGATTCGGAGGATGAGGAGAACGAGCGGCTTGTGATGTCCCTCCGTCACCAGAGCCACCGACTCCTGTGGGCGGAAGGGCTGGCTACGGGCTACTGCAAAGACGTCCACGGACAGGTACGCCCCTCCTCCCTTGGCTCCCTTTCCCCCCCTGCAGGCCTTTGAACCAGGAGCTGAGCATCCTGGCTGAATTCCCGGCCCTGTCTCTAGATGTTCCCAGTTCTGGGCTTTTTCACACAGCTGGGGCTTGGACTTGATCCGCCTTCCCAGTCTGAGGTCCTCCAGGTCTGCGGGGGGGGGGGAACAACTCCCATCATCCCACCCACCAGTGGTGCCAGTTCGGAAGAGTTGTCGCCCACACCTCTGGAGTTTGGCCTCCTGGGGGAGACGTCGCCTCTTCTCTCCTGACCTGTGATTCCGAAGCATCCACGCATGCCACTGTAACCTGTTGGAGCGATGGTTCTGTGACTCTTGCTTTCTTCCAGCTGTGTGCAGGTTTGATGGATGGTCGGATCCATTCTCTTGGGAAACACTGGGCAAGGAGTGTTCCAGCGTTTTCATGTCGCTGCTGAAAATATTCTGGTGTTCATGCATATGGGGGGGGGGAGGCCTGTTCAGAGTATGGGGCTGGGCTCTCCTTGCTGCTCCTCCGTTACCCCCGCTTTGTTAAACCAGAACTAAACTCAAACAACCCTTTCCCTCTTTCTTTTTTTGCCACAGCTAACCATCCTCCAGCGGAGCCCCTGGGAGGCCGAAGCTGAGCGGGACCATCCGCGCATTTATCAGTACAAGATCCAGGACAGAAATGTCTCGTTTTTTGCCCGAGGGATGTCGGCCGCTGTGCTGTGACTTGGCAGAGGAGCTTTTTTTGAGGGATTCAGAGGCAGACCGAAGGGGCCTCTTCAATCCAGCTGGGTTTTCCAAAGGACTGGGTTGTTCTCACAGCATCTGCTCTGACTCTGGTTCCCCCCACCCACCCCCTTGGTTCTCTACCAAGTCCTGGTGAAGAGATTTGCTCTGAGCTGCTGTGAGAGTATTCAAAATGAGGAATGAAAGCCTGATCCTGATTCTGCAGTGGTTAAGGTGACTTGGTAAAAGCCGCTTGTGATCTGACCCGAGTCAGATCCGAGCTTTGGAACTTGAGTCCAGTGGCCGATGCCATTAGTAGGTTGGCCAGTTCTTCTAAATTAAATCATTATGATCTGGATAGAGCCAAGACCGCCCTACCCCGACCTGGATCTGGACTACAACTTCCATGTTGTCTGGAGATTTGGGAGTTGTAGTCTAGCCCACCTGGAGAGTGCCCGGTCAGGGGAAGGCTGGCCTGAACAGCCATCTCTGTGTCAAGGACTCTGAACCAGAAACATCAAGGCACTCTCACAATGTTTTCATTAACGCCCATTAGTTCAGTGGCTCTCGGCCATTTCCACCTGAACTTCCTACCAGCTACTCTGTAAGAGGACTTGGGTCCCACCACGGTAGAACAAAAACACTTACTGCAGCCTTTTCCCAATCGGGTCCTTTCCTGGGGAGAGGTGTTTGGTTCATTCTGGGTGTTTTGTTACTATATCTATTATTTATGTTAAGTTGTAAAGACATAAAAAAATGCAGCTGTACTGTTGGAAATAATTGCAAGCAAACAAAAACATTACAAGTTGAGAATTGAAATACTATCCCATGGAAGCGTAATTGTGTAAAATACAGATATAACAAATTTTAAAAATGGGAGTATTATTTTCAGGAATAAATTTTATTGCAGTGGCTAAAACGCAAACCAACAAGAATTTCCATCATTAAGTGGTCTGAACACACCCCCCCCATGTTCCGCCGAGACCTTTTCTGCATCCCACTGGAGAGACACCACGGCATTAAATAAAATGGCTGGGGGAAGTCAAGGGGAAAGGAAATATTGTGGGTGTGGGTGTGGTCCTTTCCTGGGTGTTCCTCTTTGTGCCGTCAATCTTGACGGCTGAGCAGCTGCTGGGCAGTCCACCTGCACAGCGCCTGCATTGTCTATTTGTTTCCTTGAAAGTGGGAACATCTGGATGGCAGGGAGACTTGGGCGGGGAAGGTCATCCATCCACTCTCCACACTCAGGGGTTCCTGGGCGAGGCAGGCATCCGCCTAAAGCAGGCTGAGATGCCTTGCCTGTTTGAGCGCCATCCGGAGGAGGGTACCTGGTCACCTGCGGTGGGAATCCGGGCTTCCAGGTCCTGTTGGAAGAGTCCTACAAAACGGCAGAGGCCGCCTGCAACCACCTCAAAAGTGTGTTAGCCTTTGGGTTGGTTCCCTTCTGATTGGCAAGCCTTAATTGGGCTGGCCTTCTTTACTCACTGCAACCTGCAGTGTCGTCTTATTTGAGAGTCTGCATCCTGGATGGGGGAATCTTTCAGCTCAACCACTGAGTTTAGTTTCAGAAATATTTGGGCAGGGGGGTGGGGGTGGGTAGAATAGCAGAACGGCATTGTCAGCTCCGTTTCCTGCCTCTGAGAAGATTAAATCAAATATCTTTATATCTCCTCCTCCTCTTACGTATGATGGACTTGTCCACAAAAGCTCACATTAAACAATATAAGAGTTAGTCTTTGTTGTCTTCCCCCCCCCAATTCCCCCTCCCCTCCACACCTTTAATGATCAAATAGAGCAGACAGAGGCCTCTTCCTGTCCCTAGAGCTGAGGGACACTCCTAGGATCCGGTCCCAGACAACGAAGTGTACAAGCTGGTACCAAGATTAATGAATAGCCAGGTGCTCTTCCAACTTCACTCTTCTATGAAAAAAGGCCAAGGCTATTTTAGGGTGCATAAATAGAAGTACAGTTTCCAAATCTTGCTAGTCCCCCTCTATTCAGCACAGGTTAGGCCTCACCTTGAGTCTTGTGTCCAGATCTGGACTCCAGATTTCAAGAAGGATGCTGACAAACTGGAATGAGTTCAGAGGAGGGAGACAAGGAGGATCAGGGTGGTGGAAAACAAGCCCTTAGGAGGAAAGGCTGAGAGAATGGGCCATGTTTAGCTTTGAGAAAAGAAATATTTGAAAGGCTGTCATGCAGAGGAAGGGCAAAATCTGTTCTCGATCATTCCAGAGTGCACAATAGGTAATAATGGGCTCAAGCACCCAAATATATACTGTATATTTTATTTTTTCTTTTACCACACAGGGGAGCATGTACAGAAACCAGCCTATTTTTTTTCAAGCCTGTCTTCCGTTGGTTGCCCTCTCTCTTCCCTCGCCCCTTCTCCTCTTGAGGGAAAGAGCAAATTTGATATTTCCTTGAGTAACGAAGACCCACCCCACCCATATGCACACATTCCACATTCGTCACATTCCACCATCAAGCCCATAATTGCATTGTATCAGATACCAAATATGCAGAAGAGCAGGAATGGCTTTTCCAAGTGAGGATACCTTGTGCAAAATTAGCCTTCACATCGTGCGCCTGGGACTTGGAAGGGCTGGTTGGGATTTGTGCTCCCACATGCGCAGCTTCTTGTTGAGTCGTTAAGTCTTGTCCAACTCTTCGTGACCCCATGGGCCAGATCAGGCCAGGCCCTCCTGTCTTCCACTGCCTCCCCGAAGTTGGGTCAAAGTCATGTTGGTCACTTCGATGACCCTGTCCAACCATCTCGTCTTCTGTCGTCCCCTTCTCCTCTTGTCTTCACACTTTCCCAACATTAGGGTATTTTCCAAGGAGTCTTCTCTTCTCATGAGATGGCCAAAGTCTTGGAGCCTCAGCTTCAGGATCTGTCCTTCCGGGGAGCACTCAGGGTTGCTTTCCTTCAGAATTAATTAGGTTTGTTCTCTTTGCAGTCCAGGGGACTCTCAAGGGTCTCCTCCAGCACCACAATTCAAAAAGCATCAATCTGCATGTGCAACAGACGGGTACATATTGCGTCATTCTCAAACTGGCAGAAATGTGCCCTTCCTCCCTGGCCGAAACATCCCACGGGCAGTTCATCAAAGTCTGTGCCAGCAAACACAGTCTGAGAGGAAATATGGAAGAGAAGGGAAGAGGGAGAGGGAAAAAACCCACACCCTCGGTCGGTTGGGCTTGTGAAGGTCCTGCTTCCCTTCCCATCCTCCCTCGGCTGCAGCCCACAGGCCCTTCGCCACTCCCTCCCCCGCCGTGTTCGCCCTGTGGCATCTGTAGGAGGCATCGCTCAGGCTGCAAAAGTGGCATCCAATCAATCCCGCACTGCACCATCGAGGTCAGCCAGGGTCAAAAAGGGAAGCCCACGCACCTGGGTGGCGGGTCTGAGCCGTGGAGTCGGCGTGTCTCTCCACTGGGGTTTCCGGAAGGGGGGGGAATGGGAGAACGTGTGGGGTGTGCCGTTCATTCCAAGCTGGTGTTCCCATTGGGGCAACACGGAGCAAAAGGACCTGAGGATGTCCCGTGAAAAAATGGCACAGGGCAGGTCACTCGGGAAAACAGGCCACGTGCAGAAGGCTGGGAAGCAGGACTGGGCCGCTCAGGTCCCAGGAGAGAGGGTTTGTTTTGGCCCTTGTGCGAGCCTGGCCGGGGAGAATGGGGTCTGGACAGGGAAAGGTTGGGGAAGGGCTGGCCGGCAGCCCCAGGACGCCCAACCCTTCCTGGGCATGGAGGTCAAACTCGGCTCCGGAGGGGTTTCGGTCGGGTGAAGGAGCTCTGCGCGGGCCTGAGAGGGGAAGGGCAGGAGGTGCCTTTGAAAAACTGGGGTGCGTGGGAACTAGAACTCCCAGGACGCTCCAAGTTGCATGGGATCTCACTTTTCCAAACGCTACACCTCTCCCTTGCTGGATTTCTTTTAGGTTTTTCAGCCATGCAGCCGTCAAAGATAAGGAGCCTTATGGGCGGGGGCAAGGTGGCAATTGAGAGAATATCATCATCATCATAATCATCATCATGATGTGCTGTCAAGTCAATTCTAACTTATGGCATCCCTTTGTGCCTCAGGGTTTTCTAAGTGGAAGTGGTTGCCCCGTCCCTTCTTCTGGGGGTTACTTCTGGGACGGTGCAGCCGGCCCAAGGCCGCCTAGGCTGGCTCTTCCTCCACGTGGCTCCTGTGGGGAATCGAACTCGCCACCTCAGGCTACCCAGACAGACAGACGTAGAGAGGTACGTATAGAGCGAAATCGCTTGACGTCCGCGTGACCCAGCGGCGCTGGGACCCAGGGGAAGCTTCACGGAGGCTGGGAGAGCGGTTGTGCGCAAGCGCAGGCCGGCCGGCGGGGAGAGCGGGCGGAGCTGCCGGGTTTGCGCGGCCGTGGTGCGCACGCGCGGTAGGAGGGGGGAAAGGCCACGCGAGACCAGTCGCGGTCGCGCGGGAGCCGAGCTCTGAGGCGGAGGACCGCGCTTCTCGCCCACGTCCTTTTCCCGCCCCGCGCCTCCACGGACGCCCCTCAGGTGAGGGAAAAGGGGGCGGCGGGCGCTTCTCCGTTCCTGTCTCCTCTCACACGCGGTACGCCTGAGGCGGCGGAGCGGAAGGGAGGAGAGGGCGACCCTCGTGAGGGAGCCGCCTGAGGCGGAGGGAGGTCCAGGGGGCCCTCAGGGAACTGGCGGGTCTCTGAAGGCAGGCCTCCCCACCCCTCATCCTTACCCGGGGTTCTCCAGGGGCGGCGGAGCGAGGGGAGGGAGGGAGGGAGGAAGGGAGGGAGGGAGAGAGAGGGAAGATGGCGACGCTGGACTACAATTCCCAGCATCCCCAGCTCCCTGGGAAACGGCGCGTGTCTGGGGACGGGGTCACGGGAGCTCGTGCTTTGTGTTGCTTTCCCTCGGAGCCGCCTCTCTGCCAGGCGACCACAACCCCCATCATCCCCGAAAGCCACAAGCCTTCTGAGCCTACCGCCTTCCTGCCTTGCCCCACGCCTGGAGGGCTTCCTTCCTTCCTTCCCTCTCCCTTCCTTCATCCCTTCCTCCAGTCCCGCCTTCCTTCCTTCCTTCTTTTCCGCCCCTTTACAACAACCCGGCCAGGGGCGCCCAAAGCATGGCCTCCTTCCTCCCTCGCAGAGCAATGATCCCCAACCTGGGGGTGGGATGGGGGGTTCTCAACAGATGGTTTTCTTTGCGGGGTGGGGTGGGATGGGGGTGGGCGTTGGACGCCGGACGGGATCGCAGGTCTCCTCCTGTGTGTGGTCGCCCTTCTTAAATTGCTTCTTCCTCGGCCTTTCGGAGCGGGACCTTAAAATCAGCGCATAGGTGTATGTATGAGAAACAGGCCCCCCTTTAGGGGAGAGAAAGAAGCCTCTGCTTTCTGAGAAGGGATGCCTGGACCCCATTAAAAAGGCCTCTTTAGGCAAACGTGGCGAGGTGTGTGTGTTTATGTGTCTTTGTGGTGACTTGGCTGTTACAACAGGAGGTTGGGACTTGGAAAAGGTTGCGAACCACCCACGGCTTTGGAGACAGCCCACCTTCACCCCGGGGCTTTGCCTGTGCAGTGGTTGGCTAATATTTCATGAGGAAACCCATCCCATATCCTGGCACATTTTTATAAAAACACCCTGCCATTCAAAACTAGGGAGCCAGAGGGAAATGAAGGGGCCCTGGCCTTCTCCCCAGCCAGCAGGAATTTCCAACCCCCCCCCCCAGCATTTGCTCTGGGAGGGGGCTTATTCCATATTCCATCCTGGATTCCCATTTGCCCTCTGCCCAGACAAGGCCCAGATAACCGTTTGCCCGCCTGGGTGTGACGAGGGCCTGAGGTCATCATTAGGTGAGATTCGTGGCTGAAATCACCATGGCCCACCATGCGGGGTGTGGGCACAGCAGTGCATGACGGATCAGGGCGGCAATCCCAACTTTGTTTATTCAGAGAAAGTTGTCCTGGGCCAACATGAGTCTGCATAAACGTGCGTAGGCTTGACAGGGCGTGTGGAACGAGGCAAGAAAGAAGCACAGGGACCGTGCTGTAGATCAGCGTTTGTACCAAAAAGATGTGGGGTTCATTTTTGGGGAATTAGACCCTGGCTGTTGTGCTAATCATTGAGTGCAAAGACCAACTTGTTATTTTGTAAATGGTGTGGCTAATGACATTTAAAACACACACACGCACAAGAGTGACCCTTGAAGATGTATGGGTGCTACTTTGGTCAACAGTGAATAAAGACTTACTGTATTTATCCTGTATAAGATTATACAGTACTTTTGTCTAAAATCTTAGACTAAAAATTGAGGGTCGTCTTATATACGGAAATAAGCTGAGGAGAGAACATAAACAAGTGGAGGGGAAAGCAGGAATCAAAGCGATCCTGCAGTGCTTTGATCCCTTTTCCCCCATACTTGCTAAGCCCCACTTAGATTTCTTAATTTTGGATTAGAAAAATGGGGGGCATCTTACACGTGGGTGTCATACATGGAAAAATACGGTAACTTGTGAAAGCTATTGTGAGGCTCCCCCTCTTCCTCTGTGACTTCTTTTTCACATGAATATGAAATAATAATAATATTTTTGAAAATAAATGCTCTTGAACATTTGGAATCATTCACTTGCGCTTGTGATTCTTATATGCGGTGCAGTAGTCTAATCATCACCTATCAGGTGGGAGTACAGAGTCTGACAGGGACTGCTTTGCAGGAGGATTTTTTTGGGAAGTTCATGGTGCAGGGAAGGTGATCGGATGGCAGGCTTCCTGATTCGAATCTCCGGACATGAGCTTCCTCAAGATGCTGTTTCTGATAACAGGGCTCACGGTTATGTCTTGAAGCACCTGCAAAGTGCACTTTGGCAGTCCCCTGTACCTCCACCAGTGAGTCATTCCTGGTATCATCATCACCACCACCATCTTTTCCTAGTATGCTTTTAGCTGAGCGCGTATGAGTCAGTGACGACGGACCACTTGGCTTTCAGAGTATGGGTGATGTATTTATTTTACTTGCCTCTATGGATCTTCATGTGTCCTCAAATTCAATCTGAGTATGGTTGACAGTTTGATATTGACATGTGTCTTTAAATTGATCAGCATATGTATTCTGAGGAGGAGTGGGGGTACATTGCGTGTTTGTGTCAAGAAAAGATAGAGTAGGAATTGTAGATATGTGTATATATTTAGTTAAGAAAAAGAGGTGGTGTTTATATCTGCTGGGTCTAATTACTGATATAATTAGCTTGCTTTATTGCCTAAGATAGAAATGTTGGAGCTTGAAATCAGCTTTACATTATTCTACCTTGCAGGCATAAAGTTTGAGGATATTATTTTCCATTCCCACATAGATCCTGGGTGTATTTATGTAGAATCTTGAAAATTTAATGTAAATCTCAGCTAATCTGGTTAATGCATAGGAAGAAAAGTTATTGAAGGAAGCGTGGGCTGAGTGGATGGATTTAATCTGTTTAAGAATGCAGAAGGTATTCTCCATTTCCTATTAGATAAAAAAATAGTATAACACTGCACCAGTTTTAGACACACTGTTCAGTGTATACAGTTTGCATAAATGTCTATCATGCTTTAAGGCACTTTCCTTCTTAGCTCTTGACTCGTCCCTTGCGAATTGTTAGTTTCCAGCATAACAACATATTAATGCTACAAGTAACAATTAATTGTAAGGAATATTACCTGATATGATTTGTTTATTTTGAAACAGGAAAAGTGCTTAGTCAGTAAAGCATCTGTTTTTTTCTGTTGGTTGCTTTAAAAATGACTGCGACTTTTAAATGGGCGGGCTGGCCACGGTATTGCTAAGTAATTCAGTTGTTTGTAGGATCCTTACGTTTGTATGTTTCAAGTGCTGCTGAATCACTGGGAATAAATTTTAATAAAACTGGAGGAGGCCTGTTGCGGTGTATACTCTCACCTTTCAGTGATGAAAGAGAAAATTACAGCAGTCAAGATGAGAAGAAGGGTGTGGGTCCTCGCTGAATTAAAGACAGGAAGGAGGGGTGTGTCTGTTCTATGAAAGATGGAAAGGAAGGCTATGCTGGCCTGGATATACAGTGGTGCCTCACATAGCAACAATCGGTGCAGCAAAAATAGCTGCAAAGCGATTTCGTCGCTATGCGATTTTAAAAAGCCCATAGGAATGCATTGAAACCCCTTCAATGCGTTCCTGTGGGCTTCAGACTCACCTTTAAATGAAAATCCTCCATACGGCGGCCATTTTCGCTGCCCGGTAAGCGAGGAATCCGTCCCAGAAAACAGCGGGCGGCCATTTTTTTACCCGGCGGCCATTTTGGAACCGCCGATCAGCTGTTAGAATATCATCGTTTTGCGATGATCGGTAAGCGAAATACCAATCATCGCAAAGCGATTTTTCCCGATTTAAAACATCACAATGCGATCGCAAAAGGGATCGCAAAATCTTCGTTGTTATGCGATTTCATTGTTAAACAGGGCACCCGTTAAGCGAGGCACCACTGTACTAGCCAGTAGTCCTGTATGGAGGCGTATTATGCAACATGAATAGGCTCTCTGTCAATCTCCAGTATGTTGTGTCTTTTACATGCAAATAATTGTGATCTTTGTATGCATTGTAAGCTTAGTATGAACTGGACAACTATAGAAAAGCAGCAGGTGTCCCGTGATTGTTAATGGCATTCTTTGGAGCTCCTGCTGTCATAAATGTTGCTCTTGGCCTTATTTGCTATGTTATGCAGGGCTGTGGCAGGGGAGATCAGATAAGAAAAAATGTATTGTGTGAATAAAACGAAAGTAAACGGACAAGGGGAAAAGCAGACCAAAAATGGAAATACAAGCGTCTGTCTTGCCTGCATGTCTTTGTAGTCAGTAGCGTTGTGTGGTGCTTCCTTTCGGGCCAGATGTAATTCAGGCCTAAATCAGTAAAGTTTTTTCTTGGGCCATGATCTGTTGGAAGTAGAAAGGAATAAAAAGCTTAATGAATGGGCCTGTTACTGTGCATTGTGACACCTGACCTCATATTCATGGATCTCATGATCACATTCCATTTGCGCTTTCCTTAACTTCCAGATCATGGTAAGTATTAGTTGCTTCTCTTCTGAAGTATCTCTGTACTCACGCCCTTTATAGGTATGGCCTTTTGCAACGAGAGAAGATATGTGAAGGATGCTGCATCTGGAAACAACAGCTGAACTTCAGAGAATTTTGTGTGTTTCTAAGAGAGATCCTTCCTTTCTCAAACTTCAAGCATGGGACTTCATCCTGTTTTGGGATGGGAGCAGTTTAGCAATAGCTTTCATTTTAGCAGTGAGCAGTTTCAGGACGGAAGTGGAAAAACTCGTTCAGCACCAAGGCAGACACCCATTTTTAAAGTTTGAAGCAGGAGAGGAGAGGGTTAACACAGACCTACATGTTCAAGTGCAGGTTGAGATTAGAGGCTAAGGTTTTAGTTCTCTGGAATCCAAAGAATGCACCAGTGAACATCCTTGAATTTATTTCTGAATAAATCTGCATAGGATTTTGATGTGGTCCTGGGAACAGCAGTTTGTGGGCATC